GAGCTCTGACTTCTCCCAGAGTCATTCCCAAACCTCTTCCCAGAGCTCTGATATCTCCCAGTCATTCCCAAACCTGTTCCCGGAGCTCGGAGTCATTCCCAAACCTGTTCCCAGAGCTCTGACTTCTCCTGGAGGAATGTTGGAGCGCAGGGGCTCCCTCTTCCCGAAAAACCATTCCCAAAGAAACCGATCCAAGCGGGATTTCCGCTTTTCCCGTCAAGATCCGGGGTGGGGGGAACCACGAGGTGCTGGATTTGGGGCTGTGGATCCGTGACCTGGGGGAATTCCAGGGGGTTTTGGGGGGGTTTTTTTGGGAATTCCGGGTTATTTTTTGGGTTTTTTTGGGAATTCCGGGTTATTTTTTGGGGTTTTTTGGGAATTCCGGGTTATTTTTTGGGGTTTTTTGGGAATTCCGGGTTATTTTTTGGGGTTTTTTGGGAATTCCAGGTTATTTTTTGGGGTTTTTTGGGAATTCCGGGTTATTTTTTGGGGTTTTTTGGGAATTCCAGGTTATTTTTTGGGGTTTTTTGGGAATTCCGGGTTATTTTTTGGGGTTTTTTGGGAATTCCAGGTTATTTTTTGGGGTTTTTTGGGAATTCCGGGTTATTTTTTGGGGTTTTTTGGGAATTCCAGGTTATTTTTTGGGGTTTTTTGGGAATTCCGGGTTATTTTTTGGGGTTTTTTGGGAATTCCAGGTTATTTTTTGGGGTTTTTTGGGAATTCCGGGTTATTTTTTGGGGTTTTTTGGGAATTCCAGGTTATTTTTTGGGGTTTTTTGGGAATTCCGGGTTATTTTTTGGGGTTTTTTGGGAATTCCAGGTTATTTTTTGGGGTTTTTTGGGAATTCCGGGTTATTTTTTGGGGTTTTTTGGGAATTCCAGGTTATTTTTTGGGGTTTTTTGGGAATTCCGGGTTATTTTTTGGGGTTTTTTGGGAATTCCAGGTTATTTTTTGGGGTTTTTTGGGAATTCCGGGTTATTTTTTGGGGTTTTTTGGGAATTCCAGGTTATTTTTGGGGGTTTTTTGAGTAATTCCAGGTTATTTTTTGGGGGTATTTTTAGGGAATTCCAGGTTATTTTTTGGGGTTTTTTGGTAATTCCAGGTTATTTTTTTGGGAATTCCAGGTTATTTTTTGGGGTTTTTTTGGGAATTCCGGGTTATTTTTTGGGGGTATTTTTTGGTAATTCCAGGTTATTTTTTGGGGTTTTTTGGGAATTCCGGGTTATTTTTTGGGGTTTTTTTGGGAATTCCGGGTTATTTTTGGGGTTTTTTTGAGTAATTCCAGGTTATTTTTTGGGGGTATTTTTTGGTAATTCCAGGTTATTTTTTGGGGTTTTTTGGGAATTCCGGGTTATTTTTTGGGGTTTTTTTGGGAATTCCGGGTTATTTTTGGGGTTTTTTTGAGTAATTCCAGGTTATTTTTTGGGGGTATTTTTTGGTAATTCCAGGTTATTTTTTGGGGTAATTCCAGGTTATTTTTGGGTGGTTTTTTTGGTAATTCCAGGTTATTTTTTGGGTGGTTTTTTTGGTAATTCCAGGTTATTTTTTGGGTGTTTTTTTGGTAATTCCAGGTTATTTTTTGGGGTAATTCCAGGTTATTTTTGTGTGTTTTTTTTGAGGAATTCCAGGTTATTTTTTTTTGGGAATTGCAGGCGTCCTGCGCTCCGTGGTGGAGGCGGCGAATCCCGGCGCGTCCGTGCTGTGCCTGTGCGAGAAGGGCGACGCCATGATCATGGAAGAGACCGGGAAAATCTTCAAGAAGGAAAAGGAAATGAAGAAAGGTGGGGGAGGGCTCATTCCCGGATGAGGAATTCCTGATTTTCAGCCCGATTTCCCCGGATCCCTCGGGATGGTGTGGGAGGGAGGCTCTGGGATTTGTCACATTCCCATCCTGAGGGCGTTGGAGTAGATTTAATCGGGATTTCGGGAAGAATTCCCATCCCTTGAGCATCCCAAGCCAAGCTGGAGCAGCCTGGGATAACGGGAGGTGTCCCAAAGCGGCGCTTTGAGCTCCTCGGATCCCAAATTCCTCGAATCCAGGATTTTTTTTCTCTGCCAGGAATCGCCTTCCCCACGAGTATATCCGTGAATAACTGCGTGTGTCACTTCTCCCCGCTCAAGAGCGACCAGGATTACATCCTCAAGGACGGCGACCTGGTCAAAATGTGAGCGCCCGCCTCGCATTCCATGGGAATTCCTAAAAATCCCAAAAAAATCCCAAAATCCTGGGGCATGGAAGGACCTGTCAGGCCACCCATTCCCACTGGTTTTGCATTAATTCCTTGTTAATTAAAGCCCGCTAACGAGCCCGGAGGGGCTCCTGGGATCCAGAACCTCTGGATCCCAGGTGGCACCATCCCAAATCCTTGGTGAGGCGCTCCCTGCTTCCCACTTTTCCTGCTGGAATAAACCCAGGATTCCATTCCCATTCCCCAAATCAATCCCTGCT